GAATCCTGTGTATTGTACCTGGAGTCTTAAAAGTATGAGCAAAAGTGTTGGCAACCTAGAAAATATGTAAACATGTTCACTCTCCATTTGTAGAGATTGTAGATTCTACTTTCACTGCAAAGCAGAGTACAGAACAGGGATCTAAGACCATAATCTAATCTGACAAGTCTATTTAACTCAATGAAACATACATTGACTAAAGAGACCTGGATCAAGTGCCATGACAACCTAAATCCGAGTAACATTGTTTCATTGGTTTTTGTCAAGGGCAGGACTGAGAAGACTTGGAACTATTCACGGTTCCACATAATTCTTTATTTTTTTTTTTAAAAAAAAGAAGTCATGAAAGCATATTTGAATATGGAAAATGCTAAGATGCAAACAACACACGTCTAATTTTTCTAACTACAGTTTGCTGCTGGGGTCACCAGGATTAGATCTCAAAGGGTTAAACTTGACCATATCTTTGAGCTATTGGGGACTTTCATTGGATTATGAAGTTTTCATCGTTTTCATAATTTCAAGAATGCTTTTGCCCACATGAATGAGTTCATGAAATCACCAGGAGCAAAGCTTGACTTACAGGAGCCCTGAGATTTTAATTTCAAGACGGGTTATGTTTGGTGCCAAAGAGAACCACCCATTTCCAAAAGTTGAAAAGGTTGCTGGACCTCTCCTATCTTTAGCAGGGCTTTCTCAAGGCGAGGCTTTTTGAAAGAAGTAGGATGAGGGCCTAGGCCTTTGGAATATTGCTTTCAGTTGCTCCAAAGCAGGGATGTCAAACTGCTGGCCCACAGGCCGTTTGCCTCATATGGAGGCCGCACCCAACCCAGCTCTGGCAAGGCAAAAAAAGTCGTGATACATCGCGACACGTCACGTGACATGGCAAATTTGACACCTGTGCTCCAAAGGAACAATGGAAGGGCCTTACTGAGGGACTAAAAATCAGACCAATTAGTTCATATAATGGTAAGATAGGCCTCACACCTGTCAGCAGGCTACAAGCTAGCCATGACATAATCAATGTATCTCTGGTGGTTGAATCCTATCATTATCATTCAGTGGGAGAAACACGGGGCAGTTTGGACTATACGATGCCAAGCTTCTCTGAGCAACTGTAGCTCACAAAAAAATGGCAGATTGTGAAGCTATTTGATTCAGTTGGAAAAATATTCCCTGTGCTATTGTTGATGAGGGCCACCACCCTATCCTTTTGCAGGGAAACTCTCTTTTTTTTTAAAACAGCTTGTAGATGCTAGATGAGCTAATACAGAAATCAATGCAACGATTATGGGAAAAGCAATCAAGAACCAAGAATTGCTAAGGAAAACTGAGAACACTTCAGGGAGAATTTGTGTCCAAAAGGTTTACTGCTGGGCAGTTTGTTGGAAGTCTTCCCTATTTTTCTTCGCTACTTACATAGCTAGCCTCTCGCCCAATCCATTACTTTTACTCATTTTTTTAAAAAATACATCATACAGTATATTGTTTTGCAGAAGTACCCTTCCCCCCCCTTTTTCAAGGAGTTAACTCATTAAAATACAACAATTCTAAAAGCAATTGCATTTTTTCAGGCTTGTGCAGAAATCTGGAATAAATGGTCTTAATAAATAGCATAGAGATGCTCTGTTCTGAAGCCCTTCTTCCAGTTTTGTTTTGAACTATGCACAACCCCATTTTCTTTCGCGCGCACACACATACACACACAAAATGGGGAAGGGGGAATTCCTACTTTAGCTATTTGGCACCCACAAGTGAATCCACCAGAGCTTTTTTCATGACCCTGATGTGCCTCTTAACAATGGCTTGCACTTGGCTACTTATTTAGCTTACAGCCACAGCAAACCATACCCTGGCTAGCTAGATGCCAAGTGTCCATCTTCAAGTGAACCAGGTATTCTCGTATAGCAGTAGTCAGAATCTTGAACAAGCCACAGTCAAGGTCCAAGGGACAACAATAGTATAAGGACAAAAAATCACGATCCAAAAAAGAAAATCAAAACTCTGAAACCTTCAGTATTTACTTCAGACATTGCTCCCGCAATCACCAAGCCTGATGATTTTATAAAAGATTTTTATCATCTTAACTCTCAGAGCCTTACCCAAAGAACATTCTTAGGCAATCTTTTTTTTTTTAGCCAAGTCCTTATGGTAAGCTTTAAATCAGGATTTATACGATGGACCTGCACTGTCAGATGTTGCAGTTTCTTAGAATGGAAAGGTGATTTAGATCTTCTCTCTGCATATTTCCATCCTGAGCACCATCCAGTTTGATAAGCCTCTTCTGGGTGCCTGCAGTCTCCTTGTCACTCAAACTTTCTCTCAGGAACTCCTAGCTTGGGGAGTTCTACCTCTTTTTCAGAAAACACATCAGTCAGGGAACCATAACAGCAGTATAGATGGACCTTCTGCATTAGTCTCATCCATCTATAACCTTCACAGGATTGTTCTGCATCCAGATATGCTTATGCACAAGTAGTTAAGCATGTAAATCACAAGAGGGTTGCAAATGAAAGGTAATCAGTAAATGCTATGAACATAATAGGGCAACTGTACATCAAACACCTCATTTAGAAGTATTCTCATTTTTCAACATGTATATGGCATCTTCTCCTATCCCACATGTTTATCAGGAAGATAAATATTTGCAGTGCAGTGAATGGAACTGTAAAGTGTAAATCACTACATGCCTATTGCACCACTTCAGTGTTACCCAAACACCATTAATAAGCACATCTTAGAAACATTCCAATCTTCCTGGAGAAGCTGAAGCTTTAAGTGCTTATAACAATCCAGTTTTTATCTGACCTTCATGATCCAAGTTATTTACATCCCCTGGATAGAAACTGTTGTTTGATATACCCTTAACATCTAGCATTTTCCAAGGAGGATATCCAAAGAGTGTCATGCGTGATAATTTATTATCTAAATTCTCTAGCAGAATGCATGATAAGCTTTAGAAATGCTTTAAATATTTCTTTCATGTATACAAAGGGAGAAATCAAATTGAAATTAAGAACTTTATGGAATTAAAATTTGATTTTGCCCCATTCTTATCCAAAGGCAGACTCTTATGATGTGGTCCAGAAGTTGCCATGTGTAACAGCTGGTGGCTTTGTATTAGTAAGTTCTTTTATTCTGTGCCTAAAGATACATCTGGTCAATTTATTATGGATGTATATTTATGTGCAAATGTACATCTGAAGCAATTAGACATGCAGCTGGATTAGGATAACTTTAAACAATGAAAATTTTAATTAGAGGAAAGCTTCAGAGATCTATATTAAAGTCCCCTTTCACCCCTAAAATTCACTGCATGGGATTAGACCAGTTATCAATGGCTTTTACACAACATCCTTTAGCACATTTTATTGAATAAAACAAAATTGGCTGGGTTTGCAATACATACTAAGCTAAAAACAGGGTGTATATGCTAACATATCAATTGTTTGTAAATGCTAAAGCAAAGCTACACTAGCCATGTCAAAAGTTTCAACAGAGAGGTTCATCATAAGCCTTGCGGTCTTTCAGTGATGTGCCAGGTGTTACACACAAACAGCTGTGAATGTCTTCAGCCTAAGAATGAAATGTGACTCCATTTAGATTTAAAGGAAATTAAAAATAGTATGATGACTCTCTAATTATGCTTCCCTCCCCCTTTTGACATATCAGACATCAGGAAGATGCATCAAAAGCTTTTGGGAGGCCATATAGCTTTAGGAATCGTGAATAAGTCTCTAATGATTATCAAGCAAACAGTAGCCAACATCTCACAAAATGCCTTTGTCCTTTTTTGGGTTGAGGATATTGAAGATAGTCCATATGTGCTTTGAATGCCACCCGTTAAGCAATATGTACCGCAATGGTACCACATCTGTCCATTTACCAACATGACATTATTATCATCCAATGTCTTGGTTTTCGTAACTCTAAAGAATACCCCTCTGTAATACATTACAGAAAAACAATAAAGATGTCCACTCAGTTCAAATGTCAATTGTAATCATCTTTGGAAAGATAGCTAGGTTCATAGCTTTAAAATACATTTTTAAAATACAATGATTTCTTTAAAAAAAAACTTTTTTCGATTGTAGTCCTAAATATAGGGCTAGGAGACTCAATCCTCACACCCAAAGGGATTGATTGAGACTTAACTGGGATTGTAGGGCAGCATTTGATCACCATTTGGGCAAACTTCACAGCTGTCCATCAGTAATCCTTCTGGTATTTAAATACCAATGGAAGTGTGTATTAATGTTTGTTTAGGAGAAACACAACCTTTTCAATATAAGACATATGCACAAATGTAGATATGACATAGAAGGGCCACTTTTAAATATAGATGTGGGTTTTACTCTAAGTCACAGTTTAATGCTGATCTTTGAAATAAGTGAAAAACAAAAATAACTAATACTTATATTGTGGTAACATCTCTCCCTCTCCTGCAAAGAAAGGAAGGAAGGAAGGAAGGAAGGAAGGAAGGAAGGAAGGAAGGAAGGAAAGAAAGAAAGAAAGAAAGAAAGAAAGAAAGAAAGAAAGAAAGAAAGAAAGAAAGAAAGAAAGAAACATTGAAGGATTCCTTTGGAGCCATCTGGATTTGTTAGCCATAATAATCCACAACTTGTCAGTTTGCTGGATTCATGCAGTGCATTGATGTATAAACCAAGAGGTATATACAGACACACTTTTATAGATACATATTCAGGTTGCAACTGGCTGAAAAATAAATGCCACCCAACCCCACTCCCTTGTTGCCTATGGAAATCCTCAACCAAGAAGCTGAACTGAAGAAGGCTCTTAGGTGAGAAACAAAACAAGAAAAGGACAAAAAACAAAACAAAGAACAAAGAACAAAACAAGGAAGTCCAGTTGCCTTTTAGAAAAAGCACCTTTGGGACCACTCCCTTGTTGTTTTACCAGACTTCGCCATATGAATATATTAGCCTCTCCCTCAATTTAATCTTGGACAAGATCTCGCCTGCCAAAATAAAAACCATCACCAGAGGCAACTGCTGGAGTTCGCGCGCCGCTTCCATTCCAGGCTCCTTCGACGGTCCGCTTTTCCTGCGTCTCCCAACCGCTTGTTAGACGCTCTTCTTCCGCGCCTCGCAGGCTGCGAGGTTCAGAGCATCCGCGGTCGAGACCGGCTCCGCCGTTTCTTTTGCACGGCGGCTCGATCTTGGGAAGAAAACCCCAACCTCGCCTCCTCTCCCTAGCGCAAGCTCTCTCGCTCGTTTCTCGAAGGCTGCCAGGTCAAAGCGCTTCTCTCCCTCCACGCGCTGTTGCAACAGCTCTCTAGACGAAGCCCCGCTTTACAGCGAAGGGGGCTGTGGGCGAGATGGGCACCGACGTCTTCCAGCTCCCAACTCGCACGGCGGATCCCACCCGAGTTTTGCTTCGGGGATCAGCGCTCGCCCCGATCTCCTTGGGTGGTGCTCCAGCTTAGAGGGGGTACCGCCTTCTCCCTTATACAACGCCCTTCCCCAAGCAGCAGTCCCCCTCCCATCCGCTCTGGATCCTCTCACACTTCAGCCGCGACACTCACCTTGGGGCCAATTCTGCCCTGGTCGCGTCTCCCCTGCGGGACAGACGCGAGGCGCTTCCGAAGGCAGGGCCGCCCCATCGCCCCGAGGTGTTTTTTCGCCTCGGACGTCCCCCCGGCTTCGACTGCTCAAAGAGCGCGGCGGCTCCTCCGGGCGCCCCCGAGGAAGTCAACGAGGCTCTCCACTGGGCACCTCGTTCAGATCCACCCGGAGGAGAGATTCTCGGGATGCAACCGCGCCATCTAACCCCGGCTCCAAGAAGGAGCCCGCCAGTCCCGAGCGGTGTCCGGCCAGCTGGAGACGAAGAAAGGCACCAAAGTACCGGAGACGATTTCCGACGCAGGAAGAGGACTGAAATGCCGACCGTGGCAGTTTTATACGGCAAGGCACCTCTGCCCTGTAATCCCCGGGCAGGCGACGGTCGCCAGGGGGCAGCACTTTCCAGGGAATGGCGGAGAGCCATCGGACGGACTGGGCCTAATTATTCTTGTGGGAGTTGACAACTTAAAGGGTAGAAGCGCCTCTTCGGTGGTCGTGCCCACGAAGGCTTCCGAGAAGGGTTGCGCCCCAACGCCACCCCAGAGAGGGGCTCCTAGAAGAAAAACGGGTTGCAGCGGGCCGCCCTCTTCTTAGGGAGTGAGGGGCTGTGGCTTCAGGGTGCCGGCTTCAGTTTTCTCTTTGGCAAAGTTAGCTGCACCCTTGATATATATATCATTGATGGTTTTGCTTTTGGAGAAGGAGAAATATATAGTTACTGGCAGGATTATATGGGAAAGGATTGCTGCCTGATTTAGATTTGGGGAAATGTTAGATGTAGTAGTGTACTGTGGTTTTGGTGTTGTTGTTTTTCATATCATTGTCATCCTGTTCAAGAGCTCTGTGCTCGCAGAGAACAAAATATCTTCAATAAATACATTTATAGGGATGTATACTCATGGCCTAATGGGTTGTTGTTATCCTTCTCTCTTCCAAGTTTGCCCAACGTCCCTAAAATCTAGGTGATGAGAAAAATACAAATTATTTACTAATGCTGTACCTCATCTTCATAAATACTGTTTACAAATCTCTCTACCTTTCCATTAATTAAACCTGTAGCTAAATGACAAAGAAACCCACCAAATGCCGTACTGACTAATGTAGATAATGGAGGTCATTCTAAATAACATCTATAGCAGGATCAAATATGGAGGGGCCCACTGTGTCATTTGGGATGAAGAGAGTATAATTTCTAATTCTTGTTATTATTGCTTTAAAGGAAAGCAATAATATACTCCCTGCCAGTCTTCTGTGCTGTTCCCCCCCCCCCACAGCACAAGCATCAATAAAAGGAAACAGGATGCCTGAAATCTGTCTGTTAGTGATGCACAGAAAGAGTTGCCATGTGGCTAGGATTTATTTCTCCATGGATTTTTTTACGTTCACAAGAAGATACCTTGGGGGAAAATGTAGAAACATTTAAATTTTGCTTATAAATGTTCAGTTAGATGCTTAATTTCATGTTCCTTAGGGAAACTGTTTTAAAATCCATGTTATTGTCTGGTTTTTAGTGTATCAGATAACTTAATTATATAACGGAGACACAAATACTCATATTCAAGGAAAGTGAGACAACACTGTGGAACACAGACTTTATATGAAGAATGTCCACATAGGACACCTGGGATCTCCATGAGGGGTACCCAGCCTGGTGTACCTTAGATGTTTGTAGTAAATTACTTTATTGCTATCAATAAATAGCAGAATTAGAAGATTCTGGAAAAAATCCCATAGGTGGGAAATTCTCAGGTTTGCGTTCCTAACACATCTGGAAAATAGAGGGCAGCCGGTATCCACAATTCTGAACTAAATGGACTTGATTTAAAACAACACCTGTAAAACGGATAAGAAGGGATAGAGAAGACCAGCTTTGTGTAGCCAGCTTTCATTGATGTACTCACACAAGTCTCGTAATGGTTACAGAGCAAAGACAGCTGAGCCTTCTCATCTAATAATATGTTCCACTTCAGTTATTTAGCATTGCCCCACAAGTCTAAGCATTTTAATTTGGAAGAAAGTTACTTTATGGTCAGTGTGATTTAATTCTTCAGAAATCTGTTTTAGAAATTCAGTTTTCATCTTTCGTGTTTGCATATGTGAATATATCAGACTGCAGACTTTGAATGAAAATGTCAATTTTGTTTAACCTTCTGTAAGATGAGTGTTCTTCAGTATTATTTACTAACAGTCTATTAAAACATTGCTTTTTCTCCAAGGAGAACTCAGGTTCCTCTTTATCAACTTCATGACAGCTCAGTGATGAAAGCAGGAGAGTGTAAGAAGAGAATGATTGGGCTAGTTCATCACTGTGTTATTTAATACTAATGAATTAAAGTGTTCCTTAACCACTTTTGAATCAGCAAAAAGCTGTATTGGCATCGTTTCCCTATCCCCATTCTGATCCCTCTCTTCCTTCTATGATCTAATTGATTTTGCCCCTTTACTGCTTTTGGAAGGTTTTAAACTAAGGGGGAAAATACTATTTTAAAATTATATTGATGGCTGTAAATAAGATGAAGGCGACATTGTAGGAATGTGGCAGAAAAAAAATGTTGCCACAGCATGCTTGCACCCATGGTTGAGTACAAGTAGGGATAGGCTATTAAACCTCAAGAGGTGGCAGCATCTGACCGAATTTACCTGAGTCTGGCAAATAAACCCAGAAGATAAAACCTGGTTTGTCCTTGGATGGGATTGTTATAAGTGAAGATGAAAGATGCCCTGGCCTTAGAAGAAGGCAAGGCCAAACTACTTCTATAGTGTTGCTAAGAAAACTGCGTGGTTATGTCTTTGAAGTCACCAGGAGATTAACCTAACTCAAAGGAGGTCAGACAGTATCTTTTATCCTAGCTGAATGCTTTAATTTTTTTCCAACCTGTTTTCTTTTCATCTAGCATCCTGCCTGTAATTGTTACATTAGATATCCTGGGAGACAAACTATGGTTCATCTTGGAGGTATAATAGGAGAAAAACTAGACATTTGGAATTGGGCTGGAAACCAGAAGACATCAATTGTCTTCAACTATAATTTTAAAATAGTATTTTTCCTCTACCGTTTATCTCCTAAAATGTTGGATTTGATCTTTGAAACAAGAAAAGAATATGTGGATATATCACTTCTTTTTGAAATCATTAATTTGAGTTGTTCAGTTCTCTACTCCCAATTTCTGGTTTCCAGCCCAATTCCAAATGTCTAGTTTTTCTCCTATTATACCACCAAGATGAACCATAGCTTGTTTGCCAGAGTGCGTATTCTATATTGACACATTCTACCAAACAACATTGATTGATGCTCACTTGTTAATCAGATGGTGAATCTATTCATTGGTGATGCTTCCATGTTTCCGAACAGTACCAAGAAATCTCTTGGCTACAGTTTCAACACTGGATGTTGTGTCCAGAACTTGCCCAAAATACCATTTATAGTTAAATTATGAACTTTTAGTTAAATTAGCTTTAACTAATTTTCACTAAGGTTGAAATTTGTTGGAAAGTGAGGTCAAGGGAGAAGTATTTTTTTTAAAAAAAAGAATAATGTTTTGACTTAGATAGTTGCTTCCGGGATGCAATGTTATCAGAATTCCACATTAAAATGATGTCACATAACTCAGGAGCAGCTGTCAAAAACAGTGGACAAATATCTCTGTATCACTTTTGGTTGGCACCTTGATTACCGCAAATGCCCTTGTTTAATAAAGAGGATGGTGGTGGAAGAATTTAAAAGGAACATTTCAATTTGTGGTACAAAATCAATCACAGCACAGCACTGGCTTTCAGTGAAATATTGATTCTAATGTCTTCAGTAATGTTGAGATTTATCTCCAGATCTGTATTCAGAATGAGTTTTCTTTGCTTTTGTTGCAGCCTTGCTATCAAATAACAACATTGCAATGATAGTATATCGTGAGCCATAATGTTCTTAAGTGCAATTTCCAAGTACAGTTTCAAAACCATGTTATGTTAGACTTTTATCTGTTGAAATTCCTTCTGAAGACAGTTGAATAAGTCAAGGGAAAATCCAGAATTGTATGTTACAGCAGTAATCAATTTCTATTTGCTTTGGTATGTCAATGAGGTAATAGTGATGCTTTCAAGCTTTTTCACATATTTAATGGTTTGTTTTCCATCCTTATGTTTGCCTACTTTGCTCAAGATCCTATAGAAGCTAATCTGGCCTTGATCCAGAAATGTTCGCTGCACGCACTGCAAAAAACGCTTAATGTAGGACAATGGTTCTCAACCTTTCTAATGTCGCGACCCCATAATACAGTTCCCCACGTTGTGGTGACCCCCAACCACTTATACATCACCAGGTGCCAGGGGCCTGGCCAAAGAAAAGGGGGAAAAAATGGCGGACAGCCTTGTTTGGTGACCCCCGAGAAATGGTCGTTCAACCTCAAATGGGGTCCCGACCCACAGGTTGAGAACCACTGATGTAGGAGAATGCACAAACCAAATCTCCTTACCAGGACCTGGGAGGACCTGTTTCAGCTTTACTGTGGAACTCAATGCTTTCTAAAGTTAAAATTGTCAAGTATGTATTTTAG